GTTCACGCAGCTCGCCGCGTGACCGCGTCGGCCGAGTCGAAGAGGAACCTTGCAGAGGCGCGTCTTGCCCACGCCGGTCGGCCCGACCAGCATGAAGGTGCCTGCGCAGGCAAGGCTCCGGGAGGGCTCGCGGCAGGCAGAGCGAGCCGGTCGGCCACACCAGCAGGGGCGCGCCGAGCGGGCGCTCGGACGACTGCAGCCCGGCGCGCGAGACTCGCACCGCGTTCGACACGACGGCGAGCGCCTCGTCCTGCCCGATGACGGACCGCGCGAGCGTCGCCTCCATCTGCAGCAGCTTCTCCCGCTCGCCTGCAGCACACCGCCTCCGCCTCGGGACCACGCGCACGCCGCCACTCCCCGCGCCGCCCTCTGGCTGCGCGCGCCCGCAACAAGCCTCGCCGCAGGGATGTCAGTCTGCTGTCTGCATGGAGCGGTCGTGCTGCGCAGGCCCGGCCGTCTGGCTGAAGGAAGCAGCAGCTGGCGGGTCTCGTACACGCTCCTCCTCAGGACTAACAGGAGGAGGAGCTCCAGCCGCAGCGCCGGCGGTTTCAATCACGCCTGTCACTCTACAAGCAGCCCAAAATCGCCCTCGAACTCCTCGAGGTCGCGCTGGCGCGCCGCGCCGTCCGGGCCGTAAGAGCCGAGCCTGGTCTGGGCCCGCTCTAGCCAGCCGTAGAGGAGGGGGCGGCAGCGTTTGTAGGCCAGAACAAAAGCCACCGCCTCGTACCAGCGCTGCAGGTCGCGCATTCTCTTGGGAGGGAGGCGGAGGACGGTGGTCTCAGGTTCGAAAGCCTCGTCGCCGATCGTGGCGGTGTCTGGCACGGTGACGCGGGTCAGGGAGGAGCAGCCGCAGAAGGCGTAGCCGCCGATGGAGGTGAGGCTGGCGGTGAAGGTGACGGAGGAGAGGGCGGAGCAGCGGGAGAAGGCGAAGATGCCGATGGAGGTGAGGCCGGCGGGGAAGGTGACGGAGCCGAGGGCCTCGCAGCCGTTGAAGGCGCTGTTGCCGATGGAGGTGAGGCCAGCGGGGAAGGTGACGGAGGAGAGGGCGGAGCAGCCGTATAAGGCGCCGTGGTCGATGGATGTAAGGCCGGCGGGGAAGGTGACGGAGGAGAGGGCCTCGCAGCTGTTGAAGGCGTACATGCCGATGGAGGTGAGGCCGGCGGGGAGGGTGACGGAGACGAGGGAGGAGCAGAAGGCGAAGGCGCAGATGCCGATGGAGGTGAGGCCGGCGGGGAAGGCGGCGGAGACGAGGGCGGAGCAGCCCTCGAAGGCGTTGCGGCCGATGGAGGTGAGGGTGGCGGGGAAGGTGACGGAGGAGAGGGCGGAGCAGTCGCGGAAGGCGAAGTCGCCGATGGAGGTGAGGCTGGCAGGGAGGTCTATGGAGATGAAGGAGGAACAGCTGTAAAAGGCCTGGTTGCCGATGGAGACGAGGCTGGCGGGGAGGTCGATGGAGACGAGCGAGGAGCAGCCCTCGAAGGCGCCGCTGCCGATGGAGGCGAGGCTGCGCGGGAAGGCGACCGAGACGAGAGAGGTGCGGCCGC